CAGGCGGCAATTAGCTCAAAATGTTCACTCATGATTTGGGAGAGAGCTGCCAAACTCCCAGATCATACCCCTTTATGATTTTCCTAATCCTAGTATGGAAGGGGAACCGGAGGCCGGCTTCTATAACTGCCTCATAGCAGATGAAATAATGGTCTGCAATCTCAATGTCATCGTCCCATGCCATTACTGCGTCAGGATGCGGGACGATAATATCCCACCCCTTTCCAAAGGGGTGCTTCTCTTTGAAAGCCCTGAAACCGCTCTTTAACAGGGCTATGTCACCCGAAAGCATCCTAATCCTTTTCGAGTTGGGGTTGTCAGCGACTTTCGCCAGCTGCTGATAGTCAACCGCAAAGTTATCCTGATCAAAGCCAGAAGTTTCGACCCTCGACCTTTCATCGGCCTCATCACCGCCGGATCCATTAGAGGAGGCGGCTTCTTCACTGCCTACCTCCTGTACGTCAGAGCTCCCGGAGGAAGAGGGCATCAGAATTGCCACTCTCCTCCAAATCCTCATGTTCCCCATCCGGAATAACCTCATCGGCTGGCACTTCCATATTGCGCCGGCTCCTAGACTTGTTGGCCGTCTATTTGACTCTGGCCATTGTGTCCTGCACAGACATAGAGAGGGAGGAATTCGGAGATGAGCACAGCAATTCCGACAGTCCAGATAAGGCACCCCTTGTTCTAGACTCAGCCTTTCCGGGAGACCGGCTGAGTGTCCTAGGCAGTGCCGAGTGTGTGGATTGAGAACTCATTTTTTATCTAAAACTATGTATACAGGAGGAAAAAGAATGTATACAAGATGAAAAAGGAAAACTAAAGATGGTACAGGCGGTTACCTTGCTTTAGCTCTGAAAAATCTGAAAATGGCTACAGTCGGTGAACCGGGTGTTGCAATGTTAGCACACGGGAATCCTAAAAACTCTGATGCAGCCGGAAGTAGAGAATCTCTCTCTAAAATTCTCTTTTTTCTCTCTCTAGAAAAGTCAAATGAAAGTGAAGTGAGAGAAAGGGGGTAAACTTCTATTTATAGAAGGTGAAAACGGGGGCATTCCCGTTTGAATTTCAAAATTACTATCCGTTGTTACTGTTCACCTTTGATAGGTGGACACGTGTCAGAGGCATCACGTGACATTCACGTGACCCCTGTGAGGGGCAAATGTTTAGGGTAAAAATACCCTAGACATGTGGACCAATGAGAGAAGGCTACGTTTCAAGTTTAGGCTGGCCCAATAGCCTCCTGACATGTGTTCCCTTCAGATAGCTTCAGAAATGGCGGCCTTCAAGGGCCCAAATCCCAAGAAGCGCCGTAATTCGGCGCAGCCCACTAAAATCTAGGTCAAGTGACCTAGATAAAGGCACATTCTCCAACGACCCTATTTTGGGAGATATATTCCTATTTTGGGGACACATTGAATCATTTATTACACCAACTAACTTTCTCTCTCATCAGAGAAACACCTGAGCTTGGAATCCGAGCAAATCCCCACCTAAATTTACGCACGCTTTATTCTTTTTCAAGTTACTAACTTGACCGTTGGAGGCGAAGCTCCACCATCCGAAGTCTCCGTTATTTTTGCAGGTACAGCTCAGTCGGACCAATCTTTGTGACGTAACTCTAGCGAGGGACAAAACCCCCCAAAACAACATAGACAGCTTAGATTGATCCTTTAATCCCACATCTTTAAGAGAGATAAAATCTATAGGTCCCTTTTTGAAGAATATGTGTTCAAGTATTTCACCCAAGATATTAATCTAGTTTTGACCGAATTCAGTAACCTTTCATACCAAAAATATCTTAGAGATATTAAATACACATGGCATGCAAAATTTAGATAGCAAAATGAAAAGAAAATGCATTGAAATAACATATTCTCAACAACTAATCTAGATTCACACACAAAAAATTTCCCTTTCTTTTTTATTGGTCAAACAATGTCTTATCCAACAAAGAAGGAATATCTTACCATGAGCATAAAACTAGGGTGTTGTTAAACGTCGTTCACAAATTACAAGGTGACGCTCGCATTTTTTTTATTGAATTTCCTAATTTGCCCCTCATATATAAATACTTGGAAAAAGTTACGAAACTCACAAATCATTTCTCAACCCCGACACTCACTCTCTCAAACTTTCTCTCTCTAAAAAAAAGGAAGGAATTTTAAAAAAAAATTCAGAAAAAAAAAATTCAGAGGAAAAAAAAAATCAGAAATTTATTTTAAAAAAAAACTAAAAATTTGAAAATCAAACGAAGAACGTACGAAAACCAATCAAAGCAAGAATCTGGGTATGGCGGACGGGAGAGGCATTAGGCTTACGTACGGTGGTCGTGGGGGCGGCATTTCCAGCGGCGAGCAGGTTGGTATTACGTTCTTTGCTGCTGTAATTTAAAAGGAAAAAAAAATTCTGAAAAACCCAGACTTCCGCCTGAAATTTCCGGAAATTCCGGGCGGAAGTCCCACATCCGCCTGAAATTTCCGGAATTTCCGTTTTTTTTTTTTCTTTTTTTTCCTTTTCTTTTGTTTGCTGAAGTTGTTTTCTTTTTTTGTTTTTTTTTTATGTTTTTTTTGTTGAATTTTTTTCTCTTTTTTTGGGTGAAGCTGTTTTTTTTCTGTTTTTTTTTTGTATTTTGTCTTTGTTTGTTTTTTGTTTTTTTTTCTTTTGTTTGGTGATGGTTTTTTTTTTTTGGTAATTTGTTTGTGTTTGTTTATTCTTTTTTTTTTCTTTTGTTTGATGAAGCTATTTATATTTTGTTTTGTTTTTTTTTCCTTTTGTTTGGTGATAATTATTTATTTTTTTTAATTTGTTTGTGTTTGTTTATTCTTTTTTTTTTCTTTTGTTTGATGAAGCTATTTATATTTAGTTTTGTTTTTTTTATTTTTATTTTGTTTTATGTATTGTTGTTATTATTATGTTTATTTACTTTATTTTTCATTTATTGTTATTGTTATGCATTATTGTGATGTTTATTTTTTTTATTTGTTGTTATGTTTATTTATTTTTTGTTTTCATTTATTGTTATTGTTATGTAATGTTGTTATGTTTATGTAATTTGTTTTTTCATTTATTGTAATTGTTATGTATTGTTGCTATTATTTTGGAATTGGAATATTAACGATTCAAGGTTGATATCATAGTTGTGTGTGTAAGTATTAATGAAATTATATTTTCTACTTATTTAATGCAGATTGAGGGTTCGGGCGCTCGACATGCAAGATCGAGACGTTTGAATGCATCAGTGAGGAGGGAGTTAGGTGGTGCAGGACCTTCGGAGGCACCGTTTCACCGTGAGCAGCAGTATGGGTCTGCTCGTACTTGGTCGGGGGAGCATCAGTCAGACATGAGCGCCCCCATGTACTCGTCGGGTAGAGTTCCTGTATCTGACGAAGAGGACGACGATGAGCGAGCTAGTCATGCTAGTCGAGATTCAGAGTACGACCCTCAGGATTACCGTGCTGTGTATAGGGGTGACCATGGGAGATATGGTAGTAGTAGTGAACCAGGTGAAGGTTCTACCAGCTCGTCTGAGTCGTGGGTGGTTCGGGGGCGGATGCCAGGTGGGCTTGAGGATGGTACTGTCATTCCTAGTTTTGGGGGTCACGTGGCTGCATATCTATGGGGTGGGCAGGAGAGAAATGTTCTGCGGTGTTTGAGCAGGACACAGTTGTGTACTGAGTTGGGTAACTGGCGCGCTCGTCTTCCGCAGGAGCACCTGGAACTGATTGATGGCAGTGGTCTATCTCACTTACCCGGGATCATGTTCCGGCGATTTGACTGGCCCCTGATTTCTTCTTTTGTTGAGAGATGACAGCCAGACACGAACTCGTTTCACATGCCATTTGGGGAGATCACGATCATGCTGCATGACGTGTATCATATTCTAGGGCTCCGTGTCGACGGTTTCATGGTTTCCACTACTCCTAGCACGGACGTTTTACGTGACGCGTGCTCGATTACCTTGGATATGACTGCGGAAGAGCTGAATGAGAAGTGCGGTACTAAAACCGTGTGGCAGGGAAGTGGGGTGCTTACTGATAGAATCGTGGAGTCGACCTTGGAGGCGCAGAGGCCCTTCAGTTTCCATTACAGGGCGTACCTGTGGTTAGTTCTTGGCGGATGTTTGTTTCTGGACAAGGTGGAAACCGTACTCATCCTTCCTTCCTCAACGAGCTGTTTGTTGAGGACGGTCAGATTAGTGACTACTCCTGGGGTTCCGCTGTGCTAGCATACATGTACCGGCAGTTGGGTACAGCATCACGAAAAGATGCTGATTCTATCGCCGACTGTCTTACGCTTCTGCAGGCATGGATCTACGAGTACTTCCCGTGTTTTAGGCCTCAGCAGGGGACCTTGACCAGAGAGCTTACTGTTCCGCGTGCGTCCGCCTGGGATGTCGAATCGGGGTGCCCCAACAAGAGCATGGAGCGCCTCCTCGCTTTTCATGCTAGGTTGGATCATCTGACTGACAATGAGGTGAACTGGCTACCGTACGGAGTTGATCCAGCACGACGCGTGCCTGCTACTCTTTTCATTGGCTGCATCCAGTATCGTAGCATCATTGAGCCATATATGCCTGATCGAGTGGTTCGACAGCTTGGATACGTTCAGGGCATTCCCCCAGCCATCATCAGGTCTGAGAAGGCAAGGAGGCCGACGAACTTGAAGATGTATCGAGTTGAATTTCCGTCAGAGTTGACATCTATGATATGGACTCGGTTTGTTCCCGGTATGTCTTTCAGTGTGGTGTTAGGTGCCCTGAGCAGACTTGGTGGTGGTGGTCCTACGGTCGGTCCTGGGTACATGCAGTGTCTATACCGATTTTCTCATCCTCGTGTTTCTCCAGTTGCGTCATCGCATGAGAGTCGCACACTGTCAGAGAGAACTAACACGGATTACGTAAGAACTTGTGTTTTTATGATGTGTAATTATGATTAGAAAAACGTGTGATTTATTTAATATGTTGTTTTTTAATTGCAGTGGATGGGTCGGTCCATGGAGGTCATCAACATACATGCGTGTTACATCAATAAGTTTATTGTCTAGTTAACGCATCCCACATGTTCTTTCTAGCTACATAACGGTGATCCCAACCTTCAACACTTGGTTCGTGGTTCTCGGTCCACCAACCTGCAATAGGGGGAAGTGGGGAATCTGGTGCAAGTTCAAGCAATATAAAATGTGACGCAGAAATTGTAGCGATGACAAACTCCCGTTGTGGTGCCGTGACTCCTCTTCGAGCCCGCAACGGCAAGATAGTGAGACATGGGTACAAGCACGTTGGTACGGTGCCTACACCGAGAATAATAACCATTGCGTTGAACCAAGTAGCAATGGGAAATAAATCTTGAATTGCAACCATCCAATGACGAGCATCAACCGCCCCACCGTCCCATCGAATATGCTCCACATTTATCTGAAGCCTTCCAAGCCCGTAAATCCTCTCGTACGGGGATGGATAACCAAGGACCTCGTTAGCGATTGTTTCTCGAGCGTCATACCATCGGCCTTGATCACCAAAGAAGAACTCGGCGACACAACGAAAGTCGCAGTTACCATCGCCAATGACATCTTTCCACCCTGTGATGAAAGGCAACATCGGTCCGAGAATCAAGTGTCGATACCAGCTTTGGGTGATGTCTGATTCATCTTCTGCAAATATGTAGGGTTTAGTTATTAGTACAAGAACTCATGAAAAACGATTAAACCCACAATACCAAAATCATACCTTCTTGTCGTTGACCAGAGTGACTGTTTCGGCGAATCGCATGTTCGAAATAAGACCGATCACGTCTTGTACCGTTGTTCCTCTGTCGACCACGCACCCTATGGTTGATATGAGGTTCTTGGAGGTTATCATGATCCGGATGTAGCTCTTCCTCAATGATGCGTGTCACATTTCGTAGAACAGCATTGTCACTACCAAGTACCTCGTCCATCAGATTTCGAAAATGTGTGGCGTCCTCGGTCGCGTCATTACCGAACGTTGTTCCGTCATTACCATTGCCGATAACCAAAGTCTTCCAGAACTGGTGAATTTGCCTACTATACAAGCCCGTCTCTCGAGCTAAAGACTCATGTATCTGACAAGCACATGGCAAACCATGGGTCACCCGCAATGCACATCCGCAACGCTCATACACATGATAACTCAGATCCCTCATCCTTTTCGTCTCCTTGTCGAGAATCTTCAAACAATGCTGAGACACCTTGCCGTTAATACGTGACAATGGCAATTGTCGGTACTTCTGACCAATCTTCGACCTAGATGCCTCCAAATCATTACGAATAGCGATGATCTGATTACCAATGTGACAATGAACTCGGGCCCATACGGTATCCAAAGAACCTGCACATTACCAAAAAAACGTTATTATTCACAACAAACATAAATACAACAAAATACATACATCAAATACAACAACCAAAAAACGAACTTGTCAAAGAATCAAACCACATCTTGACGGCCGAATGCTGGCTCTCAACTCTACATGTGCTTGTGTTGCCAAAATGAAGAACTTGGTTAGTCCAAAATGTCACAAACTTTGTTTTATGACAAAGCCAAGTCCTCTCAACATACTCTATCACCTTTGGATAACTTGCCCATTTCAGTTTCATCATCTCTACAGCAGCCTCATAATCCTCCTCGGTTGCAGCGTCCATCACACGTTTCCATCTCCCGTTTTTGAATGTCGCACCAACCTTTTTGCTTTTGAACATATCAGTGACACGAGCCTCAACATCTTTGTTAATATGTCATCGACAAAGTAACTGCGAGGTCCCTGGAAACACTTCCCTCAATGCCGCAACTAGCCCCAGCTCACGATCAGTCAAGAAAACCGACGGTTCCTTATCAAACCCGATCAAGTCTCTCAATCTCTGCAAAACCCATCTATAGCTGGTCGTGCACTCGTTGCGCATGAAGATGTAACCGACGAGGAAATTTTGATTTGTCGGTGTCACACCAACTATCTCAAAGAACGGCATTCCGTATCGGTTGGTCTTGTATGTGGAACCCATACCGATCACATACAGGTACGTCCGTAGGATGTCTATCATGACTGGATGCGCCATGAAGTCGTGCTGTAAAACGTCATTATCGACAATACCCAGTACACATATTGACTCTGTCTAGCCAAATGTAGAAACTGTTGAACAACTCATCTCCCATCTGACATCTCGGTTCTGAAGTCATTTCGGCAGTTGTAGATGTGTCTGATGTTTAGATGATCCTGAGGAAATTGATCGGCAATAGTCGCCATGATGTTACGCGGTGCTACCTTAGACTTGGTCATGTTACGCACAACCTGCTTCGCTTCCGGGCTTAACCCGCTTATTTTACGATGCCCCTCTGGATACGCAATCATTGGATGGTTGTGGGTCCCAGTTACATCATTTTTCGCCGTGATAAACCAACAGTCGTCAACAAAATTGTAAGATATCTTGATGTAGAAAGGACAACCATTGGCTTTGGTTTTCGTGTCCTTATTGTGTTCTCAAGATCTCTCGGCTTACTCCTGCGTCCCCGATCACATCTTAAATATCGATATGGTCGACCATCCCTCTGTCTGTTGAAAGACGATTTCACCAAAATAAATCCCAGATTTATTGCAACAGCATCCGCCCAACTAACTGCTTCATCAAACGTTCGAAAAACCTTGTCTGTCACGAAATTTGCACTATAATCCACCCCTTCACCGCCTTCTTCATCCTCCGAATCCTTTAACAATAAACCAAACAAATGAGGCAAATATTAGTATTATAAATTTAATAATAATACTAATATTTTTATTAATAACAAAAACTATAATACTAATAATAACAACCTTAATAATAATAATAAAAATAATAATATAAATAATAGTAACAACAATAGTGATAGTAATTACAATAACAATAATCATGCTAACAACAACAGTAACAATATTAATAATAATAATAATACCAATAATAAGAATAATAACAAAAATGATAATAATAAAAATAAAAATAAAAAATTCGATGATAATAATAATAATAATAATAATCATACTAACAACAACAACAACAATAACAATAACAATAACAATAACAATAATAATAATAATCGTACTAACAACAACAACAATAACAATAACAATAACAATAACAATAACAATAATAATAATAATAATAATAATCGTACTAACAACAACAATAATAATAATAATAATAATAATCGTACTAACAACAACAACAACAACAACAACAACAACAACAACAATAACAACAATAACAACAATAATAATAATAATAATAATAATAATAATAATAATAATAATAATAACAAAAACATTAGAAATATAAACATAATTAATAATAATAATAATAACTAAGACAATATAATAATACTCACAAAAAAAATCAGCAAAAATAATGTTATGAATTTTGAAAGAATAAAAAAAATAAAAAAATAAAAAAAAAAAAAAAAAACGAAATTTTGGACTTCCGCCCATTTTTTCCGGATCTCAGGGGGGAGATCCGCCTAAAAAATCCGGAAGATCTTTCTGGGATCCGGAAATTCCAGGCGTATGTGGGGATCCGCTTAGAATTTCCGAATCCTTGGAGGATCTTCCGGATTTTTTAGGCGGATCTCCCCCCTAGGATCCGGAAAAAATGGGCGGAAGTCCAAAAAAAAAAAAAAAAAAAATTAAAAACTACGACTTACAGATTCTTCCGACGACTGCTCCGGCGTATTAAAGTTGTCGTCGCTCATCGTGAATAGTGGGCCCCGACTACCACACTCGGGATTTTTTAAAAATTGGTCGGAATTACCGTACAATGGTGGTCTCGGGTTTTTTGGTGGGTCGGGATTTTTTAAAGACAAGTGAGGGGTCGGGAATAATATTAAACTTTTTACTAGCTAAAGTGAGTCATGGTGGAGCCTTATATGGAATTAAAACAATCAAGGGCAAAATAGTCAATACACATAAAAATGGGAAGTAATTTGCGAACGACGAATAGCAGTTCACTAAAACTAAGATGTTAGGAATGCACTAGACGTAATATGTGTGTCAAACCCTTATAATTTAGGATGCCAAAACTCAAATCCATAGACAAGAACAACTATACATAGTTTTATGGTCAGTGCCCATAATGTCAAGTCCTTAGACGCCACATTTCAGTAGGATATTTCTCTAAAGTATTCTTAGCTCTAATTTTGTTTCAATAATATATTTCTCTAAAGCATTGGTACACCTTAGCTCTAACTAGTAACAAAATTTCCAGTGACATTCCAATACCCATTCTACATACTAGATATTGGGCTCCCAGTAACTATATGTTTGAAGCTAACTTCACAATTTAAATATACAACTCCACCAAGACCACCACATAATACTTAATGAAAGGCTCACCCATCTAGCTTAACGATTTTTAAGGAAAAAGGCACCACAACATAAAACAATTGGAAAAAAAATATATAAATACAACTACAATTCACCAAGCATATGATCACAAATTCTAGTCACCTAAGCTAAAGTATAACTCCTGTTTCTTTATAATGAATTTCTAAGTAAAACACGCATAATTTGTCACATGATAAACAATGAATGCTCGAAATGTAGTACCTTGAATAAAAAATTGACAGAGACCATGCCAACATAGCATACACCAAATTTGTGCCAATATCCATGTGAGACTCCATTTGATACCTCATCTTGTGCAAAGGCTCTAAATCCTTTGCAAACACTAATCACTAAGAGTAGACATATCAAAGTAGACCGTTTCACTCCACTAACACTTCACATTAAGGCTTTAAGCTCTTCATTTCACCAAGTTGCTTCTCTATGTCATCAAATAATTCACCTACAAGAGAAAGAGCTTCAATTTGGCTAAATTTGCAGGATCCCTTTGAGAGATTTATAATCTCATCATGAGATCATTCCAATTCTAATCTCAAAGTAGAAGTTGTCACTAAAACTAGCAATGTACTAATTCCAAACAAAATAATTAAAATGAATAGACTAATATGTTCCATGTAAAATCCATGCAGAATTCAAGAACGAAGAATAATTATATTCAGTTTAATCAAGATAACAATGATAATAGGGGAATACATATAATTGAAGAACCATAGCTCATAGTTAATATCATATATAAATACTTATCAAACACCATAGAGCTTTACATTGACTAGGACAAGTTAAGCATGATACATTAACAAAGCTAATATCATCTCTTTATTGTATTAAATGGAAAATGGAAAATAGAAAATGCACAAACTACTCAACTAGTTATAACAAAAGAGTTTTTTTTTTTTAAATTAATCTTGAGTAGTATAACGTAAGAAGATTCATTTAAATTCCGATTAACTAAATGATGTGTAACAACAAAATCAAGATAATGCCATACCTTTATTTCTTTTATATGATTTTGAAATATGTAGTGGAGATGAACAAACAACCATAATTAGATAACAAGTCATGTAATCAAAATAATCACATACAAAAAACTAGCTATAACCGATAAAATCTGATCAAGCTAATACAATGGCAGAGAAGCAACACATTAAATAAATTACAAGTTAACATTAAAAAAAAAGCTACAATATTCTAATTAGCAAGTAAGCATTACATTGCACATATACTATTTAAACTGAATAAGCTACATACTATCATTGTTATAGAGTTAAAATATGGATTCAACTAGTCAAAGAGGCCAACAATCAGCACATATTAACTTAATGACGGAAAAATAATGATAATGGCCATGATATTTCATTGTATCCTTTCACGCATCGCTAGAGCTTAAGGACTTAACCCAATACATGGATCAACATCCCACCTTACATTTATTTCTCATTTGATAAGTTGCCAAACTAACCAAATAGGGATATTAAGTTCAAGTAGCTAAATATTATCGTTTCACTATCGAAGCTTTTCTCATTCTGATTGCTCACTTAGATTATTGTAGCAGATTACTGTCGTTAGCTATGGCTTGACAGAATTCTTATGTGCCGACAATAAAAATGTTCAATTCAATGTAGCTTAGTTAGAGTTAAATTGTGTAGTAGATTCATGTCACAGGATTAATTTCAATTTTTTATATATAATTAATCAGCAATACAAAACCATCACTGAACTCAAAATTATACAAATAAAATTATCAAAGAGTGTTCGCCAAACATCACTTAACTCAAAATCATGCTTCAAACACAGAATAATTAAAGGCCAAATTTTCACGATTGAATTAAAAATTAGCATATATTAAACATAACAATGTAAATAAATTATCTCTAAGATCTATAATATTCATCAATCAAACCCATATCATACCATAAATCGCCCGCCAGTACTCAATTTGGGGGGAAAAAATCAAAATCTTACCTTAATATTATCGAAATAAAGAGTGATGATACAATTAAAGTTGAGTAGAGAATACCCATTTAGTAGTGAAACGAAATGTTCAATCAGATACTACAGTAATGAAAATTCACAACTTATGCTAACATAAAATTTCAGCAAACAAAATAATTCAAATTAACTAGTTTCATAAGTCAAATTCGATAATGTTATTGATATGAATATGCCCTAATTTTCAGTGTAAAATACCCGAAACACAATAAAACCATCCAGAATTGGATTATAGTGAATAAAATTGAGACTTGTACGAAAATATTCCTGCAAATCACTACCAATTATGGAATTAATATCCGACCTTCGGATTCTTCGGAGCAAAAAACTGCTAGCCATGGATGAGTAGCTTTAGAGGAGAGAGAAAAAGGAATGGGATTTCTACAGGGAGGAGAGAGAGCGGATGGGAAATAAAAAATAAATAAAAAATAAAAAATAAAAAAAAAGGTAGTGGCTTGTGGTTACATCTTGAAAACGAAGATGACAGGGTTTAAAGGAGGGTGAAAAAAATTGGATAACTGCTAAGATAGAGTTGGGCCTCTTAGTCGTGTTTTTTGAATTTACCAAGGCCCACATTAGTAACTAGCCTTGTTAATGCTTGTTACAACTAATTAGGTCAATAAATTTTGAGCAACTATTTGTAACAGGCCATTTCTACACCCGTTACTAATGTTTGGTCAGACTATTGTTGACCGGATTTTTGTAACTGGCCTTAGTTACGTCAGGTATGTCAGTTACAAATACTCTTATAGTAACTAACGTAATGTATGTCAGTTACTAATAGGGCGTTACAAATGATGTTTTTTCTACTAGTATATGTCCGAGTATTTGTAGGAGTTTTGAGCATTTCTTGGGTATGCGGACTGCACTGTCCTTCTTACCAGGGTATTCCTCCCTTGGGCCGGATGCTTTGTTTAAGTTTGCCCGGAATTCCTCTAGGGAACCGTAGGGAATATTTCAAGCATCCCACACTTGAGCCCCACTGTGATCATACACTTAAGCTTGGTGGCGTCCAAAGGGAAGGAAGCTAGAGCAAAAGAGTTGGCAACAAGTTTTAGGAACTTGTAAACCATTCACAGGGTGAAGGTTTCACCCCTTCACGATCCATGAGATCGCTAACTCCATAGTGGTCCGAAACCATGACTAGATATTCGGGGATGAAGGTACAAATCCAACCTAAAAGAGATTGAATCTGCCCTAATAATAGGCCTCTACTTTATTTTTCTCATATTCATGTGCGCTTTCTGACTAACATGCATCAATAAGTTAACCCTAAAACTGTTTAATCTATGTTGGTTGAATATTAATGCACAAACAAAATTATTATTGGTGATCACTTGAATTATAATCATATTAGCCTAAACAAAATTATTAATTATCTTATTAAGCGTGATTACAAGTACAAATTCCCTTTAAACATGCATAAAAGGCGTGATCAGATAACAATAATAATAATAATAATAATAATAATAATAATAATAATAATAATAATAATAATAATAATAATAATAATAATAATAATACTTCCTCCATTTTTTTATTATTGCACCATAAATGTTGGGCACACATTTTTTGGTAGTGGGAAAAAAGAGGAGAGAGAAGGGTAAAAGTACAAATAAGGCCATGTAATGTAAACATAAAATAAAGAATCAAGTGTTAAAAAGTAAGGGTATGTTGGATATTTACAGTGTGAACACACATATTTTGTTTCTTTAAATGGAAATGGTGCAATATTTGTGAAATTTCCTTAAAAGGCAAGTGGTGCAATAATAAAAGAACGGAGGAAGTAATAATAATAATAATAATAATAATAATAATAATAATAATAATAATAATAATAATAATAATAATAATAATAATAATAATAATAATAATAATAATAATAATAATAATTATAATAATAATAATAATAGACAAAACTGAAGTTTTCTGGCCTACAGAAGACCCCCGAAGCAGGCCAGTGGGTGTCTTTCCACCTAACATTGCTCGACCTTTGCGTGGTGTTAAGTTGCTTGGTGGTCCTGCTAGTTCTGATTCTGGTTTAAGTAGTGAGCTTGTGATGCATAGGGTGACCAAGACCATTACGCTTATGGATAAGGTTGCTACGCCGGATGATCCTCAGCGTGAGCTATTGTTACTTAGGGCTTGTACCGGAGTTTCTAAACTCTACTTTGCGTTGCGTACTTGTCCCCCTAGTACCTTTGAGGCGGCTCAGCGCATTTTTGACGGGGCTCTTTGATCTTCTTTGGAGTGTATTGTTACTGATTCAGGACCTGGGTTTGGCGATTGCCAGTGGCGGCTTGCCACTTTACCATTTGCGTTTGGAGGGCTTGGTGTTTATTCTGCAGGTGATATTCGGCATTATGCTTTTCTTGCTTCTCGGTTACAGTCTACTAGGTTGCAGACAAAGCTTCTACGACATGCTGACATTGTTGTTCATGGTCGAGCTTTTGAAGACGCTTTGGGTCTGTTTAATGGCGCGATGGAGTCTGATTTTTTAAGTAATCGTAGTGAGGTCGCTGCCCCGAAACTCATGAAGAAATTGGCAGATATATATTTCACGAAGGTTACCGATTCTGCAGAATCCACCTTTTCATTATCCTCTCGTCTATCAGCATTGTGGAAATCTCAGCAGGGAGATCACACGTCTGCTTGGCTTCGAGCCGTTCCTATTTCAGGATTGGGTCAGACTATGAACGCAAAGACTTATCAATGTGTGTTGTGCTACCGATTGGGTGTTCCGTTGTTCTCTGCCTCAACACCGTGCTCTGCTTGTTCGAGGGTTTTTCCAGGGGATATTTTTGGCGATCACGCGGTGTCGTGTGCTGGTATCGTGGGTATTAAACATAGACATAATGTTATTCGGGATACCCTAGTTGATGTTTGCTATCGTTCTGGGATTTCAGCAAGGAAAGAAGTTGACATTGGATTGTCTGGAGGGAACGACGAGGCCCTCGGACCTGCTGATGTGTTACTTTATTCTTGGGATCGTGGTCGCGATGTCTGTGTAGATTTGACGGGATCTTCTCCTTTGACACAGTCGGGGCTATCTGACTTTATTCCTGGACGGGTTATGGCTGATGCAACTCATCGGAAGTGGGTTAAGTATGAGGCTCGTTGTCAGGCGATTGGATATGGGTTCATTCCCTTCTCCTTTTCTTCGTTTGGTGAATTAGAGAAGGAGGATGTTGCGTTGCTTAAGTGAATTCAGAGGTTCTCAACGATGCAAGACATTGGAGCACGTGCTGCAGCTCATATTTTTACTAGGGTAGGCTTTGCTATAGCTAGAGGAGTGGGGGCCCAGATTGTATCTCGGCTTCCCACTAATTTATTGTAGGTTGTATGACTTTTTTGTTTTTGAGATATAATAATAATAATAATAATAATAATAATAATAATAATAATAATAATAATAATAATAATAACAATAACAATAATAATAATAATAATAACAATAATAATAATAATAATAATAATAACAATAATAATAATAATAATAATAACAATAATAATAATAATAATAATAATAATAATAATAATAATAATAATAATAATAATAAGCAACATAATAATAATCATCATCATCAAAATATTTTCAAAGCATAATAATATTAGCAAGATCCTAGGCATGATACTAACAAGATTAATAACAACTCCTAGCATGTCACTAAGCAATAAAGATCAAGTCTTCATCCCTAACATGATAATAACATGATTTTAGAAAGAATAGGAAGCATCCCATAGAGACATACATGATATTAGAAATCTTAGTTATTACCCTGAACATGATACTAGGATTCATAAAGACATCCTAACATGATACTAGGAATCTAAAATAATCAAAGCATGATTTATATATCAAAAGAATAACAATTAAATTACTTACTTAGATGCCTCATATCTCTTTCTATCAAAAAAAAATTACACACGTTAGTAAATTTAAGGAAAACAATAAATAATAAATCTAATCAAAGAATTAAAATAGGATTTGGGACCAAACCCTCATAAATTATCAACCTTTCACGTCTAGGGCGAAGGCAACTTTGAACATGGCTATATGTGTCTAGAACTAATGAGTGAGGTATGGTGTTTGTGAAAAAGCTAGTTTAGAAAGCTAAAGAAAGAAAGAATAAATTATTGCTTAAGAGGGAGAAGAGAGAGAATTAGAGAATTCTGGGTTATTGGTGATGGTGAATGAACAAAAACGGGGAGATACGACCCTTATTTATAGAAAATAGTCCGGAAATCGATCGAAAACAAATCAAGTCCCATTCGAAATAAAAGACCTTATGTCGAGAGCGACAAGAGTTAGCGCCAAACAACAGGCACCAGTGCCAGGCAACAGCTGTTAGCGCCAAGCGACATCTATTAGCGCCAGGTGGCAGTCTTATCATCTTGCGCTAAGTCAAAAATAAAACGTTGTAGGCGTCGCTCGAAGTGCGCCTACGTTAAAGCATGTGGTGAATATGCTTGGCACTCTTAGGAAGTGGGAATTGACATAATACGATTAGGGACAAATAAAGTAGGGAGCTGCCAACAAGTTTTTAAGTAACTTGTAAACCGTTCACGGATCATAAAAAGGCAACCACGATAAGGGACAACGATAGGCAACAACGATTGACCCGTGAAGGTTACACCCCATTCATAATCCATAAGATTACTAACTCCATATGGTTCGAAACCACGAAAGGAGGATCGGGGATGATGGTACGAAGTGAGTCATGGAGTCACATTCGCCCGTATTGGCCTCTACTCGATTCTTATAGTGAAAAATGATTCCTGCGATCTCAAAGGCATGCAAACAAATATTCAATTTGCTCCAAACTATTATTTAGCTAAATTGGTTCAATATTAATGCAACATATAATTCTAAAATATAGTGATCACTTGAATTAATAACAAGATTAAAAAGGAACCTAAACCGGTTGTCCAAATTATCTTATTAGGCGTGATTTTCAATTACATATTCCCTTTAAACATGCAATATGGTGATCATAAAAATAATAGAATTCTCATTAATATTGAAAGCAATTTAACAATAATTCCAACAATATAAAATCGTTAGAAAAATAATAGAAATAAAAGGAACATAATTCTTACTTTGATTCTGTTTGCTTGCAACTACAAAATAATAAACGAGTTAGTAAATTCAAGGAAATAATAATAATAAAACAATAATTAAATTAAATTAAATAAAGTAGAGTTGATTTGGAGCCAAACCCTCAAACAGTTCTACCTTTCACGCCTTGGCTTAAGGACAGAATCACGAGTAAAGTATGGACTCCTGGGAGTGCTTGAAGAAGAAATTTTGAAAGAAGAAGGGTATGCTAGTGTTTAGGCTAGAGCATAGAAGAGAGAAAAATAGAGAAATAATTGATGCCCCGTACATCATAAATGAGGGGGTATTTATAGAAAAAATGTGCTGAGGTAACACACAGAACCCTAAAATAATAAAAACCCTAAAAAAGTATACCGCGACATGGCAAAGTGTACCGTGACACGGGAAATCCTATCGTCTGACGGGAAACATTCCCGTGACACGGTGTACTTTTGTGTGACGCAGGAAATATTTGCTGAACGGGAGAGAAAACGCGTTGAGGGTTTACGCGAAAAGGACACGAAAATCCCCGTATCACAGCATGTGTCCCGTGTCACGG